GGGGACCTCGCCAGACCACCACGACTTCTCAGATACAATGGCCAGTGGCTTTGCAACTTCATCCCCCAGTTCCTTCAGGACCCGCGGATGGATCTCATCAGGTCCCATGGACTTGTGCACCTTCAAGTTCCTCAGATGTTCCCGAACCTGCTCTTCAAGTACAATGGGCGGTAGTTCATCCTCACAGTCCCTGCTAGTTCTTTCCACAGCTTGGGTGGTAAGACAAGAGGCTTTATCAGTGAAGACTGAGGCAAAAAATTCATTGAGTAACTCAGCCTTCTTTATGTCCCGGGTAACCAGAGCACCAGTATCCTTCTGGAGGGGGCCTACATTCTCCTTGGACTTCCTTTTTTCCCCTACATACCTATAGAAGCTTTTCTTATTGCTTTTTATATCCCTTGCCAAATTCAATTCCTTCAGGGCTTTAGCCTTCCTCACCTGATCCCTGGTCACTCGTACAGCTTCTCTGTATTCCTCCCAGGCTATCTGTCTCTGCTTCCACCCTCTAGTGGAACATCTAATGGGTTTTTTTTGCCTGCAAGTTCAGCACAAAAATAAGAAAACTCAGGTGTTAGAGGTGTGACATAATTAACAAAGTCTCATTCTTGCATACTCTGTGTAACTCTTTTGTCAACGAGATACTTCAGGAACCCTTCTATGTGAAAACTGTCATTCCTGTACTTTCTCAGATCATTCTACCAGTTGCTATTCCAGAAGCCCATTCAAAATCAACACTCTGTTTCTCAAATTCTCCAAAATTTTCTCTAGCTATCTCTGTTCTCCCACATAGACCTTTCCCCAATCCTCCCACGTAGTGTCACAGCTTTATACTCTAAAGGAAGAGAATTATCTCTTACTGCATTTTTTCACAGCAGCGCAAAAAAGCATCACTCAAATTAGGGCCTTTACATGACACCATAAGTAAATCCTCATCATTAGAGTGAGAGCCTGAAGCTTTCAATATCGGAACCAGCCCTCTTAATTCCTTCAATTTCATCTCCTTTCAACTAATATTAACAGACCTTCTTCCTTACTCACACTATTCCTGTGGTAAAGACACAGCAGAAATTAGACCATTTTCCTACTTTATCCAGTCTTCTTAGGATCCCTCCATAGTCAATGAAGAGAAAGAGCATGAGACTCTTCGAATACAAGCTTGAGCACACCTACAGATAGCATCTTGCTCTAAGCAATCCTGCAGGGGAGCTCACAATTAAAAAAAAATAAAAAAGACACTTTTTGTCTGTCAAAGCTAAGAAAGACAAGTTTCAATGGGCTAAAATTTTGTTGTAGGGACGTCCTCAGCCCTTGGCATTTCCTTCAACAAGGTTACGAATGAGGAAGGGAGTGTAGAAAAAGTCTCTTAACAGTTACTGTGCTTTGACTCACACACCATTTTAGAAACACAGCTCACATGAAAAATAATTTTGATCCACCATATCATCTCATATCAGCATGTTTAGGCATTTTCTGATTTGCTTTGCTCTGCTATGAAAGAACTGTAGACAGCAAGATGTATCTTTTCTTGGAGTTTGCACAGCAGAGCTGAAACACTGGGCACTGTGGACCTCAGACTACCAAAGCAGCAGTGGTCGTAGTAATACATCCCTGCTCCTTGCTGCTGTTCATTTGTAAATATTCAGTCATTTACCATCTTAAGGTAGAATCCAGCTAAGAAATCTGAAATTACCTTCTAAAGGAAATAAAGTGTTGAGCATATCACTTCCTACCCTCTGTGCCCGCTTCTCCAACAGAACTGGGGATCATTTTTGAGCAAAAATATTTAAATTTGGATCAGGGCACTGGAAAGAGTTCCTGCTCTGCAAATAAATAAACAATATATATCTATGAACACACATACTTTAGAATGAAAGGCATAAAATTATCTGTTTGAGAAATCTCATGCCTTTGGCAGATTAAATGATACTGTGAAATATGTTCATTTGATTCGTGTCAATATGGGACAATGGATGGATGTGCAAATAGGTGGCGAGGAGTAGGGTGTGCTTATTCAAGACAAGTGATTGTCTTAGTTTAAGATCTCTGTGAAATGCAAAAACGTAAACCTGCGAAATGCCTCATGATGCTACTAACCAGGAGCCCCAATTGTGAAATGTGTTCACCTGATACATGGCAATATAAAACAATGTTAGGGCCGCACAGTGAAATATGACCTTCTCTGTATACGTAACCTTTAACCATTCTGTTCATTCTTGTATACCCGTAGTCCTAGAGAAAGCAGAATGGTATGGATATAGTTCTCGCTTCTTGCAAAAGCCACCTAACATTTTGGGTTTTTTTTTTCTCTTCTTCTTTTGCTTTACTGCCAGTTGCAAGGTGTTAGACAAGAGGGGCCTAGGGGCCTGTATGCGCTTAATCTCTAATCTCGCTTAACCACTTTTAAGTTAGCTTGCTCAAGCCATGTATCTGTAAGTTGCATAACCCTTGTGTAAGATAAGCAGGAGCCAAGATGGAGAACAAGGACGGTCCTGATGACTTCGCAGAGCAGAGTCATGATGACTTCGCTAGTTTTCTGGGGAGGTGAAAAAGTCATCACAAGGAAGACATACAGCCTTCATCCCTGAGACTCCTACTCACGACCACCAGGAGACACTGCGCACGCGCAGCTGGGGGGGGTTAGGGGTGGAGACTATGGAGATGACTTCTCTGAGCTCATTGTAATAAGACCACCTTTTCTCAGAAATAATTAAGAATATGTATTAGTAAAAGGAATATATACCAGAAATAGGAACTATACGGTGTGCATCTTGGTGGAGCGGAGACTCCCGGCGCACCCAGCGCTGTTTGCTTGCTTTTATTCGCCTAATAAATTGTAAACTTTAATTGGAGTTCTGTTTGGGACTCTCATTTATCACAATACCATTACCATATCTCATCAGTCTAAGATTTAAGCCATGTATTTTTTTAAGGTGATGTACATTGTAAAAACATGGAAGGGAAGTTAATAAAACTGCTGACTGAAAATCCACTCCATATTCCAAGCTTTTTTCCAGAGACAGATAGATTTACTTATCTTGAAATGCAGCTTTGCTAACCTTTTATCATAGCCCAGTAGATACTAGTCTTGTCCAAAGCACAAGTTGCATCTCGTCCCAGCGGTTCAAGGTAAATAACACCTGACGTTACTTATTTCAGAGAAAGTCTTTCTTCTTTCCCAACTCTCATGAAACTAGTTCTGTTCTCAATGCAACAAAATTACTGCATGACTTTGGGCAAAAATGTGCCTACTGACAAAAAGACACTCCACTTGGCTTCTTACAAGCTTGATGTCTCCTTTCTTCTAGTGCACATGCATGCAGTTTCATCTCCCAACGTACTCACAGGCAGAGCAAGCACACTCTGAAAACCTGACGTGCGTGTTTGCAATTTTGCAAAATGTCTTTTAAAACTTTGAATTCAAGCAGAGGCACAATCTTTCTTCTGGGTTTTAATGGAGTTAGGGATTAACCTTTCCCTTTCTCTTCCCCTGTTGTTTTTGTTTCCAGTTACAGTCGTGCTGTTTGCAGCACTGAGGCGGCAGCGGAAAAAAGAGCCTTTGATTATTTCGAAAGAAGACATCAGAGACAACATTGTCAGTTATAATGATGAAGGTGGTGGAGAGGAAGACACCCAGGCGTTTGATATCGGCACGCTGAGGAATCCCGAAGCCATAGACGATAATAAATTACGCAGAGACATTGTGCCCGAAACACTTTTTATGCCACGGCGGACTGCAACAGTGCGAGATAACACAGATGTCAGAGATTTCATTAACCAAAGGTTAAAGGAAAATGACATAGATCCAACGGCACCCCCGTATGACTCATTAGCAACCTACGCGTACGAAGGTAATGGTTCCATGGCAGAGTCCCTCAGCTCCTTGGAGTCGGTGACTACGGACGGAGATCAGGACTACGATTACCTTAGTGACTGGGGGCCTCGGTTTAAAAAGCTGGCAGATATGTATGGCGCAATGGACAGTGACAAAGACTCTTAATATGTTGCCTTTCTTTTTCTTTCTTTTTTTTTTTCCCTTTCTCATTTTCAGAAACAGCATTGAAATATGTGAAGTGGCTAATTCTTTCTATTTCTCCACAGCTGTGTGAAAGGGTTCTCTATTCTACCCATTCCAATTGTCTAATGACTGCAGTCTATGTGGGTAGGCCATCAGAAAACTTTTTCTAGCATCATTTTATCAGCTTCCAAGAGGCAAAGTTCTTATTTTTCAGTGCATCCAGTTTACCAAGTCAATCTTACAGTCACAGCAGTAGTGGAGGCAAAGAAGGATCAGATGGGGAGCAATACTTTTACTTGTTCTGCTTATATTGTAAATTGGAGCATATTACTGTTTAAGCTTACTTGCTCTTTTTACTTGTATTCAGACTGTTCAGCTCAGACAACTGGTCTGTCGATTGTGCATTGCACATCCCAATGTAATGAAATGCCCTAGTTTACCCTATGTATCATAGTCAAAAGTAGTGGTGACGGAATGAAGGTTTATGATACAAGTAGAATCAGCCAAGAAAAAAACATCAAACATACATTTTACTCATGAGGAGGGTAGAAAGGCTTTAATGGATTTAATGTTTTAAATCTAAGTGTTTTTCTAGAACTCACCATTGCCCCAATGCACTGACTCATACTAACACACACATATATATATAGTTCATTGACTGCTATGTATATATTCTTCTGACCTAGCATCCCTGGAGAGATGTGCGTGGGTGCATGTGTGTGTGGTCAGTAGCCCCAATATCTAATTCTTAGACGGTTTCCTAGTTTGAACCCAGACTTTCCTTGTGATATGAGAAAAGGAATCTAATTCAACTCCAGATTAGATCATGACTCAGGAAGGAGCAGATCATAACCGTGCTTTTCTTTGTACTTTTTCCAGTTCAGTGATGGCCACTGTGCTGGGGAGGTGGGAGTCAGGCTTTTCGTATCCATCTACTTCTGCCTCTTCTCATGTGCAGGAGGGGAGCAGTAGCCTCAAGGCGACTGTCACCCACTGGGGCAAAAGGAGCAGCTGCTAAGGAGGAAAGGGTGCATTTTCTGTCCCGACCTTCCTTGCCTGGATGCCAAGGGTGGCTTCCCAACTGACTCCGCCCAGTTATGCTATCTGTCAAGCGGGGAAATAATGCCTACCTCATCAGGATGTTGCAAGACTTATATAAGTCATTTGGAAATGCTTTGGAGATGGAAAATGCTGGCATTCTGCCAGAGGAAGTAATTTCTCATGCTTTCGGGTGGTTGGTTTTTCGTTGGTGTTTATTTTTTTTCCCAGATTCAAGCCCTGAACGCACAAGTAAGCGAGAATCAATTGTCATTCCAGTGGCCTGAAAAGCAGGGTATAAACTATATAAACTATAAACTACAACACATTTTTTAAAAGAAAATATTCAACCAGGGTTGTTAAAGACTTCACTAAAAGGCAAAATTTTAATCACAAGTCTCTCTGTGTGTGTTTATCTGCTTTGCCAAACTAAGTAACTTTTGTCCAAGGATGGGATGGGGGAAGGCGCTATAGTCTCAGGCCGAAAAAATTTTCTTTACAGCTTGTGCACCACTCAGTATTTCTGTTGGTTCGTCAATTCATGCAGTTGCTGCTTTTCAAATTCAGCCATCTAGGACAGGCTATGTAGAGAAAATCCTAAGGAGCTGCCATGGGACATATCCAATTCTAGGATTGAAAAGCTGCCCTGGGTCCCAAAGTAGGGACACGGCCCATGGCACTGTGCCAAGGAAAGAAGGATTTTTAAATATTTTTTTTAATATACCTCATATATAACTAATATCATGTATTTCATTTTGAAACAGTATTTAATACCAGAATTACAGGCATGGATCTATTTTCCCACTCCCTCAAATCTTAAATGAATCAGTTTGAAAACTAAACAACACTCCCAATTTAAAAATAAAGAGAGAAGGGAAAAAAGTTAACAAACAGAAAATTAAAAGGGATTAAAAATTAATCCCTGGAATTCATTACTCCTAGAGAATTAAATAAAGAGAGCGGTAAGATTCCTGAGCATTAGACTTTTACAAGCACGACAACATAATTTCAGGTTTTGTGAACCGGCTTAGAGGGAGGAAGATGAGCCAGCCACGCTACAGTGCCTAGCTGGGACTGGGACCAGGAAAGACTCCTTCCCAGTGGGAGCACTGCACATTCACAGGTTTAGGGCGAGGCAGATAGCAGTTTGCAGATGTCCAGCATGATAGATTATGTGGGTTTTCAGAGTGGAGGAACTCAGAGCTTCAGTGGGAGCTGAGCCCCCAGTCTCGCTGATGGAAGCCTCTCACGGTGCAGAGTGAGGTGCCCAACACCATCGCTCAGGAGGGCTGAGCCTGTCCTGCCCATCACAATGGGACAGCACAACTATGCTCTTTTTATGTCGTCCTGAGGGCCCTTAAGAGTAATTTAAGATGACAACAGCCTTTGAAACTCTAGCCCTTCATGGCTTCCTTGAAATCAGAGCATCCAGCAGCAACCTGTCTGAAGCCTGTCTCTGACACACCGGAGGGGCCATCTGGATTTCATATACATGGAGGAGCAGCAGATGCTCAGCACCACCTGACACAGGTCCCTCACTTCGGGCTGCTCACCTCATACGGTCAGTGGAGACAGCGTACCCCTCAGGGGGCATTTCCAAACTGCCCTCTACTACATGCCCATGGCTTAGCCTTCACCTCAATAGAGTGCAAATCGCCTCGAGGTCGGAGTCCAGTTGGACACCCAAGGACACCAAAAGCAAGCCAGTGAACTCCGACCGGCAGGTCAGCTTGCATTAGTCACTCCTTGGGGTGGGATAACAAGACAGGAGGATCACTGGTCTTGTAACTACTTTCCTATGTTTGTACAGTGATTTTATCTGATTTAGTAATTGTTAGTAGCAGTCCGAGCTCAAGATTCTTTTGTTTTGTTTTCTTTGAATTGAAAGCTGGTTTTATCTTGTCCATTGAGTGACACAGTAAATGATAGAGTGGCTACTTGTGCCTGTTGTGTAAATATATTATATATAGAATTATGTTATGTCACCACAAATATGGTGCCTGCATAGCAAATGGATTCTTCTAAGAAAATTCAAGGCAAACTTGCATCCAAATTATTATTTATGCATCTAGTTTTTAAGGACTATTTTTTCCTGCAAATTAGACAGATTTCACATCTCTCACACAGCAAGAAGAGTTCAATTCTGTCTTTTCTTCTTGCTTGGCAGTACCACAAAGTGCAATTTATAAAAGCTGTACTGCATATTAAATATTGAAAGTGCCATATTGCAGTGATTACAAAACTTGCAGTAATATTTCTTTGTACCTTGTTGCATGCCGGCGTGCTAGATGATAGAAATGAGTATTTAACAATGCTTTCACACAACGCTAGAATTGCCATTTATAGATAAACAAGTGTTAGACTATAGGCTCTGAAGTGGGTTTCAAGGCTGTTTTAAGCCTCCTCTTCTTACAACCACACCTATTTGAGAAGCAGAAATATTTTTAGGAATTTTAGCTAAGCCAGGTAGAGAGATGAGCAATGCAGTTGGCTTTTCATTTGGAAAAACATCTGATCTAACAATAGGGGACCTATTAAAAGGTACCAAGACATTCAGTGGAGTTAACATGATAGAGACATGTTTACATGGGAGCTGTTTCCAGCCTTGCTACTGCAGAACAGTTAACAACTCTACACTTGAAATGGAATAAGGTTTCTAGTACAGCTATTCCATCCCAGCTCCCAAAACAGCCACTTTATTCCAGAAAAAGGATTTTTTACTCCAGAAGAATGAGTGTTTCAGCTTAAAACTATTCTATCCCACAGTATGGGAAGACACAGCAGCACATGCCTCCACTGCAGTTATGCCAGGACATCTCTTTGTGTAGACAGGCGCTTGGAAGAGAGCTGAGGCAGAAACTTGCAGCAAGCTCTGAACAAAAAAGTTTGGGGTTTCCACAGCGCTCTATTGACAGTACCACAGGACTGGGATGTGTTCCCAAAGCTGGTGTTGACAGGTATGCTGTCTAACCATGAGAAAAACAAGTTATCCATGTGTTTCAGTTATTGCTTGTAAAAAAAAAATGCTGGGAAAAATTCCAAGTAGAGGAGGAATGCTTCACCTGTACTAACACTAATATTTTCTAAATTTGTCCTAAGAAACAGATCTATTTTTCTGACTTTTTGTTTGTTTGTTTCATTAATTGTCAGGTCTTACTTCACTCTTATAGATAGGTATTTCCTAGCTGTTAAATGTGAGTGGTAGAGGTATCCTGCAAACAACCAAGTTTTGGAAGGAGCAGGCTACATCATGAGGCACAACATTTCCACTTCCCTATCACAAACCAAACAAAAACCCCCACCAAAAAAAATCAAGTAACTGAAAATTTGTAGTACCACAAAAAGCGCAATGATCATAAAGGACTAGAGCAGGGAGAGATGGCTTTGGAAATGTTTGTCTGCATACGTACAAATAAAAAGAAGGGACATAATGAACATTAGAAGCTGGCCATGTTTCAAAATCAGACTTAACACATGTTAAGCAGGGGCAACAGTGCATTGTCACTTCTAACGCTCCCAGATTTCCCGCAGCAGCCAGAGGGAGATTTGCACGGATAGGAAGAAAGACATCATCTTTTTCAGACCATGCAAATTAAATGCAGGCCATTTCCATGCAAATTTCTAGGAAAGTAAGTCCCTTTGTCATGATTATTATTAAAACCTGTTAAATTTCTGCTGCAGATCTATCTTTATGGCCATCTGCAGTGTAAATTACGGATAGTGATTCTGAGCAGGTAACTCTCTGTGAACACCATCGTGTTAGCTCTTCCTGCCACCATCTGTTTTAAATCTCTCCATGTTTCCTTTGGCTGCAAGTAGTATTGAAGCGTTTCAGAAGACCACTGTCTCAATTGGATGCTGGCATCCCCTGCCCGTTTGTGTTTCAATTAACACTGCAGTCCCTTGTCAAATGAGAGCTGACAAATTAACAGTCATTATGCTACTTCCAGTGAGTATGAACTATGTCGTAAGTTGTGAAAGGCAGGATTTTTTTACCAGCCCCTCTAGACCTGTGAAACAGCAGACTCCTCCAATAAACGTCAAAGCCACAAAGGTTTTTGTTTGCAGTTTAGTCTTCAGAAAGACTGGTTTCCTCAGAGACTGTTTCTGTACTTAAGAAAGAAAAGGAACAAAAGCATATTTGACATCTACAGCCTCATGCATTGCTTCAGTAGGAGGGGAAGAAACAGCCCACACAATGTTTTAATGCCTG